ATTTCCAAGTCCATCGAGGGCATTGATGATCAGCGCGCCGCCCCTGTTCGGCAGGATACCTGTGAGAAGGCCCATCGCATTATTGATCATGGTGCCCAGTGGCATGAGCAAGGGGCCGCGGCTGCCACTTCCTCCGGGCATGTCCATCGTGAAACTCGAGTCCGGAAGCGCAGTCAAGTTGAGAGGTAGCTTGCCCAGACCCATGGAAGGATTCGGCACGCCGTCTATGCCTGACAACTTCGCCGCCGATGGTTTGACTTCCAGGCTCTTGCCGCAAGGCCAAAGCAACGCCTGGCAGATCTCCCGCAGCGTCTCGGTACCTCCCGGGCCTTTGGCTGCACCTGGGTCGATGATGATGCCGAGTCGTTTATCGCCGCGAACTGTGTGATATGCCATCGTGCTGCCATCCATGGGTTCATCGTCCTCGTGAAAGATATGCTGACTCAACAACGCTGTGTGCATGATATCTGCGAAAGGACCTTTTGACGGTGATCCCGTCGGTGCATTCGTTGAGGTCGGCGGTGGAGTGGGTGATCGGCCTGTGGTCGCTCATCCTCGTCGCCCACTGATGGCCTGCTCGAACGTTGGGGCAAGTCGAAAAGGAATCCAGTTGCAGCAGGTACTGAAGATGTTGTCGAGCTGCCGGCACCGCCGCTGCCGGCTGATGCAATGGGCCTCTCAGCTTGACGTCGTGTCGGTGCCTCCGCGATCGGGTCCAGGAGTGAAGCTTCCGGTTTGGACTCTGTCTTGCCGTCTTCACCTTTGCCCTTGCTTTTCCTGCCACCTTTGCGAAAGCGTGGATAAGGATATTTGTGACGCTCTTCGTCGTCGCATTCCCAGAGGTGTTCATCGTGAGCTTGATCTTCAGAAGGTTCACCATAATAGCCGTCATCATCTCCGTCAGTGCCAATGAAGTATTCAGGACAATCGTGATACACGGAAGGGTCCTCAGCAGCGTTCGCGGGATATGGTGGCGGCGGCATGTCCCACGAACCTCCACCTGATGATACTGATGGTGCTGAGGGTGACCGCTTCGCCGGTAGGTCTTCGCACGCGTGAAGGTTGATCTTCGGGTCGTTGCCGTCAGCACTGCCCGAGTGGACAGAGGTCGCGAAGCCATGTCCGCCATTCTGAGTTAGCCTGTGACGCGTGAGGCGCTTGAGGTCGATCTCGATTAACTGGGCAATCCTGCGTGTTGCGCCACTTTGATCCGCAGGTGTTACATCCGCTACCTTTGCCGCCACTGTTGCCACCTGAACTGCCGTGCTTGCCCTTCCTGCTTTTGCCTTCTTTATCGCCCCGGTGACTCGCGTCGGTCGGCTCTTCGTAGTGCGACTGTTTGCTGCTCCATCGCCCATTGTCTCGTCCAAAAACGCGTCCTCGAGACTTGCCATGTATACGTGATTTGCCTTTGCCGCTTCGTCCTTTGCCTTTGCGTCGGTAGCCTCCGAAACGATAACGCGGGCGAAAACCAGACATCTGATAGGCCTGATCCATGTCCATCTCTGTCAACCAAGCCTCGATTTCATTGGACTCGTACCAGACGCCATCGTCGTCGTGTGCTCCATATGGTATCTCTCCAGATTCAGTCCAGCACTCTCTGTAGTGTAGACCGCTCTCTTCATCATGTGTCCAACATATGCGATCTTCGCCGTCGTCATCGTAGTCCTGGTAGTGCGTGGGAACATAATACAAAGCTTCCTCATCGTCTGCGCAATGGTTATGATGCGAGCTTCCTGTTGCCATCTCTTGTTTGGCGATCCTTGTCAACATCGAGGACACAATCTGAAACTTATCAGGATTTCGGTCGATATGTAATTTGATGTCACTGATACGCCTCTGAGGTAGTCCACACCATTTGAACAGCATGCGAGTCATTCCAACATTGCTGATGGTGAGGCCCGCCTTGTCGTTCGCCTCTTGATATCTCTCACGGAAGCTCAGCAATAACTCCTGCAAAGACTGATTGCCACGTCGCGTATCCAGGAACTTATCCAGATGTTCTCCTTGTGGGTCCTGATCATGAATCTGAAATGCTTCCGTCAACTTCTGCATCAGGTGACCTGCGCCGCTGATGCTGGCCTCGTGGATGATGTTGTCGTTCGCGTCGCGCTCCTCTTCTTGACGTGCTTATGCCAACGCAGCGTCACCTTGTATAACAACTCCATTCCGAGGTACTTCTAAGCTCATCGCGATGGTGAGTGCTATGTCTAACAATCGTGCCGCCATCGCAGGTCCTGCTTCTCGTTCGTCCAGTGGCGTCAGCCGCCACCAAAAATGCAGTCTCTGCATGTATGCTTTGACGGGGTAGGCGTGATCGAACGGCTTCCAGCCGGGCGGCACATATCGAGTAAATTCCTGTGGTGTCTGAGGTGTCTTGGAGTCTGCCATAGCTGCATGAAATATCAATATGCTCAAGAAGTACGAAATCCAACTTCTGCTTCTGCGTGGCCTTGTCGGCCGGTGATAACGATAATCTCCACTGAATACGTCGCCCAGTATATCACCAGGCCTGGTAATGGATATTGTGCCTTCACTCTTGAATATGCTGACTTTCGCAGTGAAGGTGTACACGGAGTCGCGCTGCAGCAGCGCGAGGCCGAGGAACTCGCTCCCCGAATATGGCGCCCCCTGGCGGGGCGCCGCGCGCGCGTGGGCCGCGCGCGGGTGGTATTGGAGCCGTGGCTCCGCTACGAATTTGAAATGTTTGTAGCTAGCGAACCCGCATCCTTGAGCATTTGTATAGTTTACAGTCCGAACATGCTTGCTACTGCCTGCCTGCTATGCTTTACATCTCTGAACAGATACTACACTTGATCTTAGTCAAGGGGGGTCTCCAACACACAAAATCTCACTCTCTTCTCCCTCCTCCCCCTCCTCCCCTTCCTCCTCCTCCTTCTCCTCCTCCTCCTTATTCTCCTCCTCCTCCTTCTTCTCCTCCTCCTCCTCCTCCCTCCCTCCTCCTCCTCCTCCTCCTCCTCCTCCTCCTCCTCCTCCTCCACGAGCTTCGTGCCCTCCTCCTCCTCCTCCTCTCCTCCTCCTCCTCCTCCTCCTCCTCCTCCTCCTCCCCCTCCCCCTCCCCCTCCTCCCCCTCCCCCTCCCCTCCCTCCCCCGGCTGGCCGAGCCGCGTCTGGAGACGCCCAGACGCCCTGCCCCGGCCGCGCTCCAGCACAGGGCCGGGGGGGCCGACGCCGAGGAGAGCGGCCGGCGGCGGCGCGCGAGCAAGCCGAAAACGGGGCGGCGCGAGGCGAGGGAGGAGGAGGGGGAGGAGGAGGAGGAGGAGGAGGAGGAGGAGGAGGAGGAGGAGGAGGAGGAGGAGGAGGAGGAGGGGAGGAGAGACGGCAAGGGGAGGGGGAGGGCCACTGCTGCCGAGCCGACGGGCGCCGCCAGGGACGGGCGCCTCCCTGGCCCCCGTCCCTGACTCCAGATCCGCCCTACTTTGGCTTTTTTCCAACTCAAAACTGCGTCGGAAATCCACCTATAAGAGGCCGAACAAGCAGGGCGGGAATTTCTGCACCCAACATAAAATAGGGCGAAAATCCACAGACGTAGGGCGGAAACAGCAACAGAAAAATAAACGGAAATTGGCATCAGCGGGGCTTGAATATTAAGGCGGAAATTCCAAGCCCTACTTACGAATTTCCCCAAAGTAGGGCGGATCCGGAGTCAGGGGTGGCCTTCTGGGACGGCCTGGCCCCGGCGAAGGAGCACCGCGCGTCGCGCATCGCGGGGCGCGGCGCGCGACGCGGTCTCGGGGCGACGTGGACCTCTTGTCGATCAGACGTAGGGGTAACCTTTCGCCGGGGTGACCCTTGGTGCGGGCCCACTGGGGTCCCCCCATCGCCGAGCGCGATGCGGCAGTGGCGTCTTGCGCGCATGCTGTTGGCCCCCCCCCCCCGCAGCCCCCCAAAAGCTGCGCACCAAAGGTCACTCTTACCCAGGGTCACTCTTGCGTGTGCCCGATTTGGGTCGACCAAAAACAAACAACACCACCCCACCAGTGTCCCCCCATGTTGCGCCGCGGCCCATCGGGTGCCGAAGCGTACACCACGCAAAAGCCCACGCCAGATGTCCAGGTATACGCTGAGCCCCGTGGGGCTTCAGGTGGGGAGGTGCCGGTTTTTTGGTCCATGTAGCCCCCCCCCCCTTGACCCTGGATCCGTCCTGCTTTGGTTCATGTCCGACGCAAGCCTGTATAGGACATGCATCACGAACAGTGCAACAAGAAGCAGGGCGGAAGTTTCTGCTGCAGTTAATGTGAGGTGGAGAGCTCGGCAAGAGGAATGCAGAAACCGCGACGGCAAAGTAGGGCGGACATCGGTGACAGAGGAGCATAACAAGTAGGGCGGACACTCCCGCCCTCCATGCGAACTCGCCCGGAAAGAACGGCGGCTCCCGAGCCAGAGCGCAGTCGCCTCGCACAGTAATAAGGATGAGCGGCTTTCCAAGGTCGCTCGTGCATCCTTACCCTTCGGCCCATCTTTGGCCGGTTTCGCTGGCCGCGTCCCGCCCGCAGAGTGTCGACACGGCCTTCCAAAATTTTCTGTGTGTGCATGTATGTGAATGTGTGTGTGTGTGTGAATGTGTGTGTGTGTGTGTGCGTGTGTGCATGTGTGTGCGTGTGCGTGTGCGTGTGCGTGTGCGTGCGTGTGCGTGTGTGCGTGTGTCTGTGTGTGTGTGTGTAAGTGTGTGTGTGTGTGTGTGCGTGTGTGTGTGTGTGTAAATGTGTGTGTGTGCGTGCGTGTGTGTGTGTGTGTGTGTGTGTGTGTGTGTGTGTGTGTGTGTGTGTGTGTGTGTGTGTGTGTGTGTGTGTGTGTGTGTGTGTGTGTGTGCGTGCGTGCGTGCGTGCGTGCGTGCGTGCGTGCGTGCGTGTGTGCGTGCGTGCGTGTTTGTGCGTTCGTGTGTGAGAGAGAGAGGCCGACTGGGGCGGCAGTGCCTTGGTGGTGCGTCGCTATCCGAACGCTCCCGAGCCAGCGCCCCCCCTCCCCGCCCGGCAGCAGGCCACGGGCGGAGCCGCCCCGGTGCGCCGCGGCTCCGCGCCCTCGCCGGCGGACGAGGTGCCTCCCGAGCGGGCGGGGCCCGAGCGGGCGGGGGCGGCACGACGACGACGACGACGACGACGACGACGACGACGACGACGACGACGACGACGAGACGACGACGACGACGACGACGACGACGACGACGACGACGACGACGACGACGACGACGACGACGACGACGACGACGAGACGACGATGACGACCTGACGACGGCGACGGCGACGAAGACAACGACGACGACGACGTCGATGACGACCTGACGACGACGACGACGACGACAACGACGGTGACGACGACGACGACGACGACGACGATCTGATCTCTTCGATCCCGGCGTTTTTCCTCGACTTCGGCGTCTGGGGCCCCGCTGTTCCAGGCCTCCCACAGGGGTCCGAGCAGATGGGGTCGGAGGACTGCGCCGCATCGCCGATGCATCGGCTTATGCGGCTTGACGTGGAGCCCGAGCTTCTCCACGCCGACGTCGCCGCTGTGTCGCCGACGTCGTCGATGCATGTGCGGTGCGGCGCGATCCTCCGACCCCATCTGCTCGGACCCCGTCTGGGAGGCCTCAAGTTGTCGGGCCTGGGGCCCACAAGATTGGTGCGGGGCGAATCGCTGTCCCAGGGACAGGGCCTGGGATTCTTGGCCCGTGGATTTGCAGAACCATGCCGTTGGATGTTCGACCGACAGCAGTTCCTGCGCATTTTGAACAGACTCGCTGCCGATGTCGCCACGGACATTTGCCCACATGAGGTAAGCACATCGTCTGCACAACAGCGACCGCTGTCGGTTGTGCACGGTGTCTGTTTGTGGGCATCATACCAATTTGTTCTGTGACATTTTCGCAGGTGCCGAGGTCGGGGTCGTCTTTCTCGCCAAGGAGCACTCCTCTCGGGAATCTCGTCGCGAAAAGAATCAAAGCGGGAGGTATTCGACAGTTTTCGGCCTCCGTTGGCGTTCACCTCTTACTCGGGAACCGCCGTATTTCACATTCAGGGCGGAAATTTCCGCCCTACTTGGTCAAGCTCCGTGGATGCCGATTTCCGCCCTACTTTACCGCCGCTGCTTGCGCATTACTTTTGCCGGGGTATCTGTCTCAGTTCTCTGAAGCAGAGATTTCCGTCTTCAGTTGCACTGTTCGGGGTGCATTTCCTACACGGTCTTGGGTCAGGAGGGGAAAAAACACACAGAGACACAATGAACCGTCGATCCCCAGGAAGATATGGGAAAATATGGGACGTGGGGGAGAAGACGAACATCCAGAAACTATGGGAACACATGGGGAATCCTCTTATTTGTGTGTATTTATCTGTGTGCCCCAGGGCCCCCTCATTTGGGTCGGCAGTGACCCGAAGCCCGGTCGGGGACCGGCCCCGGGGGCCGTCGGAGAACGGCCCGCGCCGGAGCAGCCGTCCCCCGGGAGGGCGTCCACGTGGGTCGCCGCGGTGGCGGAGAGGGGGCGACGTCGGAGCACTGAAGGGCCCACTCTTTGACGAACGAACATCAGGAGGGAAAGAAACACACAGACACAGTGAATCGTCGAGGCCCATGGAAAATATAGGAAAACATGAGAATTGGGCGGGAAGACAAAAACCCAGAAAATATGGGGAAATATGGAGCTCCGAAGGGCCCGCTCTTTGACGAACGAACAGCACACACCCATACCCATAAGGGGGGTCGTTGGGCGGAGGAATGGCTGTGGGTAGTGGAGGATGACGATTCATAAATGACTGGGGGTCGTGTTCACGCGCCGGCGCCCGGGATGACGATTAGGAAAAACCGGCCGCGGGTTGGAAAACTATTTTTCCAATCGTTCTCCTCCAGGCAGAACAGTATGCATACATAGCAGCAAACTATTGCTTTAATCGTTCTCTCCCATTTTTTGATAAACGTCATCCCGCATTATGGGTGCGGGTTGTCGGACCCTGGGGAACGCTCCCGTTCGAGCGGGGACCCCCCTCCGACAACACGCACCCATGGCCCTCTCCGATGCCCCTATGCGTATGTGTGCAAGCCAGGATCTCGCCAGGTCCAGCTGGAGAGAACGACGCGCGGATGATGTATCGACCACCGGCTGCAGTTCTCTCAGGCGCGCCATTGTCTTGGTTTATTCAGCTGCCTGCGGCACGCCCCGCCACCGCGCCTGTGCAACAGCGCAGCAGGAAGGAGACTGAGCACAGGAACAACCCAATTCGGACTACTGGTCTGACTTGAGACGGCTCGTGGGCTCGGCTTCGTCGTCGTCCGCGCGGCAAGGGGAAGGTCGAGTTCACGCCCCGCTGCAGTTCAGCGAGCGGTCTGAAATGAGGCGGGTCGTGAACTCGACCTAATCTTCGTCCGCGCGGTCGCAAGGAGGAGGAGGAAGAGCAGGAGGAGGAGGAGGAGGACCAGTTTAAACTCAAGATGCATCAACGGTGTTGCAAGAAACCCTCCCTCCAAGTTCCCTCCTCACAGGTCCCTGCATGAACTCATGTTCATGGTGGGGAGTGCCCCGTTGAAAGATAATCGTCTGAAACTCCGAAGCCGTACCGGTAGAAACGTCCCGGGACTTCGACGCTGCGCATCAGCGTGGCTGCTGCGTCGACAAGTAGTGCATCGTGCCAGAGAGCACTTCATGGGATGGCTTGCTGCGCATCCCTCTGACTGGTGCGTCCTGACAACCCTGAGGCATGCCAGAACACCGCTTCTGCAACGTCAGCCATACAGTCGGGGCCCTGAAGAAGGAACCCTTTTCGTTGGGGAGGGGCTCCGTGGTCCTTGATTGTTTTACAGTTTGCCCTGGGCTTTCCTTAGGTTTTTAATGGTAGATCGAAGTTTAACTTATGGAAAAAAGAGGCCTTGTTCCTTATTTAGGATTCCTTAGGTCAACGCCCAGACTGTACGTGTCCTTGAAACTGCTGCGAACTGAGAAGACAACTGGCCGCGGGGCTGAGGCGAGAGCCACGTTCTGAGAAGGCCGCCGCCCTCCATCTGTGGGGCTGCTGCAAACCTGTTAGGTGGATGTGCGCGGCGCTGAGACCAGAGCAACGTTTTCAGGAGGGGGAACAAGCACAGACACAAGTCATCGTCGATTCCCCAGAAAATATGGGAAATTATGGGCAGTGGGGGGAAGACAGAAACCCAGAAACTGTGGTAAACTATGGGGGAGTATGTTGTTTGTGTGTATTGAGCTGTGTGTCCTGGGGCCCCTTCACGTCTTGAAATGGGCCCGCCCTCCATCCTTGAAACTGCTGCAGATGTCAGTCTTCCGAGCCATGACTGGCGAGGAAGCCTCGGGCGAAACGCCCAGCCCACCCTACAGACGCGTGATTTATCGCCCGCGACGAATGGTCACGGGTGCCACCGGTGCTCCATGGAGTGCTCGCCTGCGTGGTTGTTCATGGAGTTTGGGCTCTCGCGCGCGCTGCGGAGGTGGGGACAACAAAAACTGCAGACACGTCTGGGGGTGCGACAGGGAGGAGTTAGGTGTAAGGGAAAGGGATGGGGGAGGACGAGGAGAAGGAGGAGAAGAGGAAGGAAAGCAGGACCACGAAGACAAGGCTCCCTCGGGGCCCTCTTGGGGCCTCCTGGGAGCCTCCTGGGGGCCTCTTGGAGGCCTCTCTTGTTGCCTTCTGGGCGCCTCTTGGGACCCAGTGGGCCGTCCAAGGGTGCTCTTGGGTCGTCAGACGTCTTCGGAGGCCATCTTGGGGGCCTCTCTGGGCCGCCCTGGTGCATTCTTGGAGCGCTAGGGTCGTCGTGGGGCCCTGTCGGGAGCCTTTCGGGCGATCTCGGGGTCCTATTGGGCCGACTCGGTGCCCTCTAGAGGCCCTCTTGGGTCGTCTTGGAGCTATACTTGAAACCTTTTGGGTCACCTTGGGCGGTCGCAATCCCAAACAAGCGAGCACTTCAACATGTCAAAACAAGCGCAGAACATCAATGGTGTTTGCCTCCTCGGACTCTGGAGTGCCCTTCGGAACCCTCTTGGGCCGTCTTTGGGGCCTCTTGAGCCATCTTGAGGCCGTCTTGGGAGCCTCTGGAGCTGTCTTGGGACGTCTTGCCGTCTTTGTGCCATCTTGGCTCTTTCGGAAGCTGTCTTGTAGACCATCGAAGCCGTCTTGAGGCCAAACAGAGCTTCAGGGGGGGCGGTTTCAGAACGACGCGCTCGACGACAGGGGTTGGGTGGGCCTAGAAAGACTAAAGAGACCCTCTAGACAACAGACGAACATGACGGAAAGAGCAGATGCGAGAGATGTTCTGCACAGGGTTTTTAGCCCCAATGTGGAAGGTCCTGCGTGGGGCTAGCTGGCTGGCCCTGCGGGATCTCTGACACACCCTCTGGGGGCAACGCTGGCGGCTTGTTTCGGCCCAGCCCACGATGCTTCCAAGACGGCCAAAGAAGCCCCAAATACGGCCTCAGAGAGACACCAGAGGACCCAAAGACGGTCCAAGAGCGCTCCAGGAGAGCCCACGACCAGCCAAGAGCGCTCGAAGATGGCCTCAGATGGCTTCAAGGCGGTCCGAGGGGGCCCAAGACGGTCAACGAGGCCCTCCAGAGGACCTTCGAGAAGGCCTCGAACCTCGATTCGTGGAGATGCGGGCCTCGAGTGTCGAGCCTCGAGCCTCACGTCTCGAGCCTCGAACCTCGCATCCTGAAGCCTCGAACCCTCGAGCGCCGAGCCCCGATGCCGAGCCCCGATGCGGCGAGCCCCGATGCGGCGGCCGCGGCCGCGGGCCTCAGCGCCAGAGGCGCCGCCGCCCCTGCAGCCGCTGCAGTCGCAGCGCGCCTCCGCCCGGCGCTCCTTCGGGCTGCTGCGGTCGTCCAGCAAGAGCAAGGCCGCCCACCCCCGCCCCGAGGGTCGCCGCCGCGGCCGCCGCCGCCGCCGCCCTTGTTCGCCGCCGCTGGCCATCCACCTCCTCACATCCCTCGGGGCTCTGAAAGGCATCCGCCTGCATGCACTCCAGGCTTCGCTCCACAAGCCCGGGGATCTGGACCGGACCCTGGGCGTTCTCTTCGAGCGTCCCTTTCTTTCCCGTAGAGCGCTCGCAGATCTGGGCCTGGACTACCGTCTAAGCAAACGCTCGGCGTGAGATCCATTTCCACTGTCGGTGGCCCCCCAACGTACTGGTATTAAGTCGGGCCTGTCCCTCTACAGGGGGAATATTCAAAATAGTCCAAAGATAGTCGGGGGACTATTTCTTGACAAGTTGTTTGACCATTCTGGAGTATTTTCTAGTTTTTCTTTAATGTTTAAGTTTTTCGTCGAAGATCTCCCTGTATGGGGGACAGGCACGACTTAGTACTGGTGCTGTGCGTGCGCCGCCCCCTCCCTCCCCCCTCGGGGGCGATGTGCGCTCCGAGGAAGTATGATGGCAGAAGCTCCGCGTCGGGTGCTTGCTGGCCATGCCGCTCGGGAAACGAATCTATACATACATATATATATATATATATATATATATATATGTGTATATATAATATACGTGTAGATACACACATATATATATATATATATATATATGGTCGCCCCCCCCCACACGTGATCATACATTTTCCCCTTCCAGGCATCCCATCTGTCCTCCTCTCCTCCTCCTCCACTCTTCTTCGTTTTTTTTTTTGTTCTCTCTCTCTCTCTCTCGCTCATCCCCTTCTCCTCCTCCTCCTCCTCCTCCTCCTGCACACACACACACTACACACACTACGCACACATGTATATATATATGTATATATACACACACTACAAGATGGTCATACTATTATGTCGGGCATGTCCCTCGACAGGAGGGATATCCAAGAATAGTCAGAAATAGTCTGGGGACGATCTCCCGACCAATATTTATGACTATTGTCGAACCGTTTTGAAATCTTTTTTTGTATTTCCGTCCCAAATCCGCCTGTAGGAGGACATGCCCGACCTAATCATATTAGATGTTCGTGTCGGACGATCGACGCATAGTGCTAGACTGTACTTGTGCGTCCCACACTACAGTCAACCCGCATAGTAAGGACGAGCGACTTTCCAAGGTTGCCCTTGCATCCTTCTTCTTCGGCCCATCCTGGGTTCGCTGGCGGCGCCCCGCCCGCAGAGTGTCGACGTGGCCTTCCAAGGCCCTTGCATCCTCATCGTGCGTCCTTATGATACGGGTTGATTATAAGCCATGTGGAATTCGTCTCGATGGTGGCCCAATCTAGCTCTCGCTGTTTACGTTGCATCTTCGGGGGATCTCGCTTGTCCTCCAAAATTGGTGTCTTCTCTTGTGCCCGACGCGGGCTCGATCCGGACTCGACGCGGATCTGGTGAGACTCGACGCGGATTCGATACGGATTCGACACGGATCCGACGATGCCGACATGGACTCGACACGGATTCGACGCGGATAGGGCCGCGACGGGACAGACAAGGTCCTCCGGCCTCGAATCCGTGTCGAGTCCGTGTCGAAGCCACGCCGGCCTCGTTGGATCCGTGTCGAGTCCGCGTCGAACCTGCGCCAACTCCGCGCCGAGTCCGGACCGAGCCCGCGTCGGGCACGAGAGAAGGCCCCCGTTTTGGGGGACGGGCGCGGTCCCCCCAAGGATCACCGAGCGCGTGCTGCTACTCGCAGAGTGCCTACTCACAAACGTCCGAAGGACAAGCGTCTGCCTCGATGTAGTTTCTCGCAGAGCCTCCACGGCGAATCCAGGCCATTCGCGAGCAGTTACTTTGCAGGTAGTGGAACGCGCTTGTCTAGAAGACGGAGCGCCGCGCTGTGGTGGCGTCGTTCGGCCGCTGGAGGCAGCGCCGCCGCCGCCGCGCTCCGCGGCGCCGGCCGCCAGGGCTTCTCTCTCGTCGCGGCCGGCGGGGCTGCCCGCACGGCGCTGGGGGCCAGAGCGCCCCTGCAGAGGCCGTCTCGGAAGGTTCGGAAGTCCCCTGGCTTCCTGAGAAGTTTTGTCCTTTGGAAAGACACGAGAGCCTTCTCAGCAGGCGCGCGGGCTTCTGAGAAGCCCGGCCGCCTTCTGAGAAGGCCTCCTCGTCCTCCTCCTCCTCCTCCTCCTCCTCCTCCTCACTGTGCACGCTCTGCCGGAGAGAGAGACCAACTCTCAAGCAAGCGGCCGCATGCGGGTCTTGCGTTGAAGAGTCGTGCGTTGGGGGAAGGGATCCTTGGGTGTGAGGAGGTCGAGGCGCATGTCTCCCCAGACGATCCCGACATCAGCGATCAGGAGCAGTTCCGTCGCCTCGGGAACGAGGCTGCAGACCGAGCTTGCGAAGTTGGGAGCCGAGACCCACCCGCAGCCGTCCGAGGATCTGGCGCCCGCAGCAGACTCACATGTCTCAGGAGGGGAAAGAACACAGACACGATTAATCGCCGATCGCCAGGAAGATATGGGAAAAGGTGGGAAGTGGGGGGGAAGACAGAAACCCCGAAGATATGGGGAAATCTAGGGACTCCTGTCATTCCCCAATCAGAGCTTGCCCCTGTAGGGGTCCTAGCGGATTCATATGGCTAGGTTAAGTTTGTCGCCGATTTTCGCTGCACGCCTAGGTGCCCGGGTGCCCAGAGGTGCCCGGGGCCCGGGTGCCCGGGGGGTGCGTGCCTGGGGGTGCCCGGGTGCCCGGGTGCCCGGGTGACCGGGTGCCCGGGGGTGCCCGGGGGTGCCCGGGGGTGCCCCGGGGTGCCCAGGGGTGCCCGGGGGTGCCCGGGGGTGCCCGGGGGTGCCCTATAGCCCTATAGCCCTAAGCCCTATAGCCCTATAGCCCAATAGCCCAATAGCCCAATAGCCCTATAGCCCTACAACTCTATAGCCCGATAGCTCTATAGCCCTATAGCTCAATAGCCCTATAGCCCTATAGCCCTCTAGCCCTCTAGCCCTATTGTCCTGATCGGTTTTTTTCTCCGGTATCATTTTTGTGTGTATTTCTTTGTGTGTCCCAGGGCCCCTTCAATGTCAAATTGGTGCAGTATGTGTGTATCGGAGACCTGGAAATTGTCACCAACACCAAGACAGGGGGTTGCCTCCACAGGGGGAAGGTGATCCTAGATTTTCGGTGTTGGTGGTAATAGTTCGGCCACCTTGGAAGCCAGAATATTACCACCATCGCCGAGATCGGGATCTTCTTCCCTCGGTGGAGGCAAACCGCCGAAATTGGTGTTGGTGTCAATCTCTAGGCCTGCGAGTGTAAGCTTGCCGCTCCGCTCCTGCCCCTCCGGCCGCGCACCGACCTTCCAGAGGCCGCTCGGCCACCCCCGGGGCCGCCTGCCTCTCGAGCTGCCTCTGCTCCGCACCGCTGGGAGTGGACGGGGCCTCCAGGAGGCGACCAGCGTTTTTGGATTTGTCAGTAAGGGAAAAACAAGTCACATAAACATGCAAAAATTCGGAGGTCCGCGCGGATTTCTCGGATCGGCGCTGGACCCCCCTCCCTGGCGCTCGGAGCGCGCCAGGGGCGGCGCCGGAGGCGCCGCCGGGGGGCCCCAGCGCCGATCCGAGAAATCCGCGCGGACCTCCGAGTTTTTGTGTTTATGCCACTTTTTGTGGGATGCCGCGTGTGTGTCGCACGTACGTTACTTTATGCCACTTTTTTGTGCCGTCACTTTGTGCCACTTTCTTGTCCGACGCACGTAACTGTTTTCCTCAGATGTGGCGCGCGCGCGTGTATTGCACGCTGCCGATTGCCACCGCCTGCGCCCTTCATGGGCTCGCCTTCCGGCGCACGGGCGTGACCTTGACCCTGTCACTTTCAGGAGGAAAAGAAACACACAGACACAATTGATCCTCGATTCCCCAGAAAATAGGGGAAAATATGGGAAGTGGGGGGGAAGACAGAAATCTAGAAAATTTATGAAAATATGGGGAATTCGTCTATTTGTGTGTATTTATTTGTGTGTCCTGGGGCCCCTTCACACTTTTTGTTTCCCTAGATCCAGCTCCTGGTGCCACGGGGCCCTTCGTGTCGCTCCGCTCCTGCAGGGGACGGTGGGCGGGGGGTGCGGGCGCGGCACGCCGCAGGCCGCAGACGGGCACGAGGGGAACGATCCCCTCGACCCTCCAGGCCCAGGCCCCCGACGTCATGATTCTTTCATTACGTCTCCTCCTCCTCCTCCTCCTCCTCCTCCTCCTCCTCCTCCTCCTCCTCCTCCCGACCCCTGGAGGCTTCGACCCATTCCCCGGGACTGGTCTTTCTCATCCCGGGCTGTTCTTTGCCGGCCCCGAGGGTCAGCAGGGGCCCACAGAGGCCGAGCATAGCCAAACACGTCCCGTCATGACTCTTGCATTGCCCGAGGGGGGTCTGGGGAGGCAGGCAGCCACTCCCCCTCCCTCACCGCCCACCAAACCACCCCAACCCAACCCGAAGGCTCAGATTTACCCTCGATTTCCAGAGGGTGGGGGGGGGGGGGGCGGGAAACATAGAAAAAACACATGTGGAACCCCTGGCCCCCCCAACCCGAAATTCGAGTCTTCGGGTTGGGTTGGGGTGGTCTGGTAGGTAGTCACTCCCCCCCTGGTGGTGACCCGCCCTGGCCCGGGCTCTGACCTGGCCCCCCCCCGCGGCGAGGCCGCGGCCGGCTTCAGCTCCGTGCCCGCCCCCGCGGAGGGCGAGGCGCAGGCCTCGGAGAGCACCTCGCCGGCGCCGCGCAAGACGCCCAGGAGCACTCCGTCGGGGTCGTCGTCGTCGTCGTCGTCGTCGTCGTCGTCGTCGTCGTCGTCGTCGTCGTCGCCGTCGTCCTCGTCGATCGACCGATCGATCGAGCCAGGGCCTTTTCTTGAGGAGGTGGGTCGACGCTCGAGGTTTGAGGTCTGCCGGCCCTCGGCAGCTTTCCAGTCTCGGGAGGCGCTCCGGCAGCGGAGCCTCGAGCGAGGGCGTTCCAGGGGTGCCCAGGTCGTCCCGAACGGCCGCTGGAGACCCAAGTTGCGACTCGACAGCCCGACGACGAGAATCACTCGGGTCGGACGGGTCCAGGGGCAGCTCACTCTCTCGCTCTCCCCCCTATACCGGGCAGCCGCTCCGCTTTCAAGCCTCCCCCTCCTCCTGCCGCGGGGCTCCCTTCAGGAACAGGTCTGGGCGCCGTGGCCAAAATCACGGTGAACGGGCTTCGGCAAGTGTACTTTCTGTCTTCTGAGGGCCCCCCCGCACAGGATTTACCGATCGATGTGAAAGGTCGGGGTTCGGTCTGAGTCGCTTTGCATCCAGAGGCCTTCAGGCCCCCCCAGAGGCTTCTACACACTTCTGCTGGATACCTCCTAGGGAACGTCGGGGGTCGTCGTTGTCGTCGCCCTCCTCCTCCTCCTCCTCCTCCTCCTCCTCTTCCTCCTATTCCTCTTCCTCCTCTTCCTCCTCTTCCTCCTCTTCCTCAGAATCGTCGTCATCATCATCATCAGCATCACCACCATCATCATCATCATCATCATCATCATCATCATCATCATCATCATCATCATCATCATCATCATCATCATCATCATGATCATCATCATCATCATCATCATCATCATCATCATCATCATCATCATCATCATCATCATCATCATCACAACCACCATCATCATCACCATCATCATCATGGCTATTATCATCATCAGCAGTACCATCATGTTCATCATCATCACCATCATCATCATCACCATCATCATCATCATCATCATCGTTGTCATCATCATCATCATCATCAACACCACCATCATTATCTCATCACCATCATTATAACCATCCTCATCATCATCCTCATCCTCATCCTTAGCCTCCTCCTCCTCTTCCTCCTCCTCCTCTTCCTCCTCCTCTCCGCTTCCTCCCAGGAGGCGGAAGTGGAGAGGAGTAGGAAGGGGATGGAGGGACGATAGTGTCGTTGTCGTCGTCCTCCCCCTCCCCCTCCTCCTTCCACTGCTCCTCCTTATCACACCGCCGTCCTCGTCATCATCATCACCATCATCATCATCATCATCAGCATCATAATCATCATCATCATCAACACCATCATCATCATCATCATCATCATCATCATCATCATCATCATCATCATCATCATCATCATCATGATCATCAACATCATCGTCATCAGCGCCATCATCATCATCATCATCATCATCATCGTCGTCGTCGTCGTCATCATCCCCATCATCATCATCGTCCTTATCACCACCATCATCATCATTATCAAACATATCATTATCATCGTCTTCGTCATTGCCATTGCCAGCATCGTCGCAATCATTGTCATCATTTTCACCATCATCATCATCATCGTCGTCGTCGTCGTCGTCGTGATCATCATCATCATCACCATCAGCATCAGCATAATCATAATCATTATCGTCATCGTCAGTATCGTCATCATCACCATCCCCATCGTCATCATGATCATGATCATCATCATCCTCATCTTGACAATCATCACCATCATCTTTGCCACCGTCATCGATCATCATCGTAATTAATCGTCATCGCCATTATCATCATCATCATCATCATCATCATCATCATCATCATCATCATCATCATCATCATCATCATCATTCTCATCATCATCATCATCATCATCATCATCATCATCATCATCATCATCATCATCATCATCATTACCATCACCATCATCAACATCACCAGCAGCATCACAATCATCACCACTATCATCACCATCATTTTTATAATCATCGCCAGCATCAGCATCAACATCATCATCACGTTTACCAGCGTTATCATCACCATCACCAACGGCATCATCACCATCCTCCTCCTCGTCCTCCGATCACCATCGTCGTCATCACCACCATTAGCATCGTCAGCGCCGTCATTGTCATCATCATCATCATCACCACCATTACCATCATAATCTTCATCATCATCATCATCATCATCATCATCATCATCATCATCATCATCATCATCATCATCATCATCATCATTATAATAATAATAATAATAATTATTATTATTATTATTATTATTATTATTATTATTATTATTTTTAGTATTATTATTATTATTATTATTATCAGTATCACCAACGAATAACACTTTGCATCAGCACGGGCGGCGCCCTGGGCGCATCCCCGCCAGGGCGGCGGCCTGGCGGCTCGGGGCGCTCAGAAATTGAGCAGCGTCCGCTCCTCTGGGAGCAAGCCTCCCTCCTCCTCCTCCTCCTCCTCCTCCTCCTCCTCCTCCTCCTCCCGAAGGCCTCCTCCTCCTCCTCCTCCCCCTCCTCCTCCTCCTCCTTCCTCCTCCTCCTCCTCCTCCTTCTCTCCTCCTCCTCCTCCTCCTCCTCCTCCTCCTCCTCCTCCACCTGCCTCCTCTCCTCAACGTCCCGAAGCGCGCGGGCGCTGCATGCAGGACGCCCCGCGCCGCAAGCCGCTACCTCGCCGCCAAGTCGCCGAAGGCGCGCGGCGTGCTGCTCTGGTCTCCGCCTCCCGCTCCCGCCTTCTCGGGGTCTCTGCCCCGCGTCTCTCCCGGGGAAGGGGGGCCGGGAGGAGGTCGAAGGAGGTGGGGCGGAGGCAAAAGCAGGAGGAGGAGGAGGAGGAGGACAAGCTAGGTGCGCTCGCGTCATATCTGACATCCTACCCCTCCTTCCCACCCCTTACCATGGCGCAGATCCCTTCTCTACTCGCTCAGTCGGATGTCGAGCAGGGCAATGATAGGTACGCGATGCATTGTAGAGCACGGCATGGCATGGCGTAGAAGAGCACCGCAAAGCGTAGTATCAACCTAGCATTGCAGTGCATGCCGTGGCATGGCACGGGAAATGACGCCAGCGCTGCAGCGGGAGCAGGAGTCGAAACGAGCGGAAGCGCGGAGATGAGGCCAGCGCTGCAGCGGGAGCACGATTCGGAACGAGCGGAAGCACGGAAATGAGGCCAGCGCTGCAGCGGGAGCACGATTCGGGAGCGGGGCCCGAAAATGAGGCCGGCGCCTCAGCGAGAGCAGCATTTTGAAACACATGCAGGCGAAAACCCAACTCCGGGGAAACCTGTGTGTAAAAAAGAGTACGCGGGGGGGGGGTCGGACACTCCCAGGCGGTCATCAGGGGAAGAGGGAGAGTAGTATTCATATTGAGTAATTGTGGAGGAGGAGGAGGAGGCGGAGGAGGCGGAGGAGGAGGAGGAGGAGGAGGAGGAGGAGGAGGAGGAGGAGGAGGAGGGAGGAGGAGGAGGGAGGAGGAGAGGAGGAGGAGAGGGAAGGAGGAGAGGGAGGAGAGAGGGAGGAGGAGTAGGAGGAGGAGGAGGAGGATGAGGAGGAGGAGGAGGGGAGGAGGAGGAGGAGGAGGAGGAGGAGGAGGAGGAGGAGGGAGGAGGAGGAGGAGGAGGAGAGGAGGAGGAGGAGGAGGAGGGGAGGAGGAGGAGGAGGAGGAGGAGGAGAGGAGGAGGAGGAGGAGGAGCGGAGGAGGAGGAGGAGGACAGGAGGAGGAGGCGGAGGAGGAGGAGGAGGAGGAGGAGGAGGAGGAGGAGGAGGAGGAGGAGGAGGAGGAGGAGGAGTAGGAGGAGGGGGGAGGAGGAGGAGGAGGAGGAGGATGAGGGAGGAGGGAGGAGGAGGAGGAGGAGGAGGAGGAGGAGGAGGAGGACGAGGAGATGAGGAGGCAGGAGGAGGCGGAGGAGGAGGCGGTCGCGGAGGAGGAGGAGGAGGAGAGGAGGAGGAGGAGGAGGAGGAGGAGGAGGAGGAGGAGAGGAGGAAGAAGAAATAAGAGGAGGAGGGGGGAGAGGAGGCGGAGGAGGAAGGAGGAGAGGAGGAGGAGGAGGAGGGAGGGGGGGGAAGGAGGAGAGGAGGGGGGGGTGGAGGAGGAGAGGAGGAGGAGAGAGGAGGAGGATGAGGAGGAGGTAGGAGGAGGCAGGAGGAGGAGGAGGAGGATGGACGAGGAGGAGGAGGACGAGGAGGAGGGAGGAGGAGGAGGAGGAGGGAGGAAGAGAAGAGGAGGAGGACAAGGGGGAAGAGGAGGAGGAGGAAGAGGAGGAGGAGGAGGAGGAGGAAGAGGAGGAGGAGGAGGAGGAAAAGGAGGAGGAATAATACTATTAATAATAATAATAGTAATAATAATAATAATACTACTAATAATAATAGTAATAATAATAATAATGATAATAATAATAATACTAATAATCATAATACTAATAATAATACTAATAATACTACTACTACTACTACTAATACTAATAATAATAATAGTCATAATAATAATGATAACAATAATAATACTAATAATAATAATAGTAATAATATTAACAAGTGGCACGTGTGCCATGGCTCTTGCACAAAAAGGAAGGGGGAGGAGGAGGATGTGGAGGAGGAGGGGGGGGGAGAGGATACCAGACATCGCAGAAGGAGTGAACAAAACAGGGCCGCAAGAGGGGCTCCAGAGGGCGAGCGCGAGGAGACTCCAAGGGCCGTCCCCCGCAAGATGGCTTCAAAGACCTTTGACGGGTTCCCAGGAAGCCTCCAACTGACGCCCGAGAAGCCTACAGAGGGTTCCAAGGGGAGGCCTCCAGGGTCCAAGGAGGGCTGGAAGAAATTACTGAGCGGACTCAGCTGCTGGGGGCTCGCGGTGCAAAGTGCGCGGCGGCCTTGTGTTGCGAACGCTTGTCCAAGGCAGTCGCTTTGCACGCAGAGTCTGTCGGGTGTATTCTCGGGGGCCGGCTATGCGCCACTTGAATGGGGGCCTCCCCCA